GTTCTTTGAAACACACACTTCTTCTTTTCATCCCGACACCTTCGGTCTTTTGTGCCGTGTGTGTCCGGTGTTTCTGAAAGCAGGGAGGGGGAGAGAGAGTTATCTCTCAGCTTCTTTCATGTGTTTTCCCCTCAACCATCTCCTTTGTGTCGTTTGTGTGTTTGTGGGAAGGTGCGTGGGCGTTTTCATGGCACCATTCCCACTCTGCACTCCACCTCCCTCCCTCCATCCCTTCCCTCTTCTCCTTAATCTATCCTTCCCATCCTGTTCAGACCGTCTGTTGCCGCTGCCCCCCCTCTTCCTCTTCATCACGCCTGCCGTAATGAGATTAAACCTTAGTGTATCCACTGGGCGCACGCACACTTTATGTATATACACACACACACACACACACACACACACAATCATCCACTTAAAAGAGAGCACACTATTCTCTCTCTCATGCACTAAAACAGCACAGGCCTGCCATCACTGTGCAGCTTGCACACTTGGACCGCTTCCACTTGCGTGGCGTCCAACATCACACAGTTGGCGTGAGACCAAAGCCTCTCACTCTTAGTCTTTCCCTCTGTCTCTGGCTATCAGGAGGCTCATGGTAAGGATTACAGTAACCCCAGGTCTGTCCTCAGAGGTGAGCTCCCTGCTGAGCCATCTGGGCTTCAGAAATAATCAGATTCCACACTGACTAGTTTACTGCTGCCTCCTACAGGCTGAGTTATGCATAGCAGCCGTCATCAGACAAGTTATAAATGTAAGTTTCTTCAGGAAATGTTCTTGACAGAAGCAGAGGAGATGCTGGCAAGCTGTCCATCTCTCTCATTCGCTTACTTCCAAACACACACACCAGCTTGTCCACACAATAAAATAAAAGGCCTGATGGGTTTTTCTGTTTTTAAAGTCTCTGACTCCCCTCTCATAATGATTCTCTTGGTCTTCTCTTTCTGCAGGCAGTTGGCTTTTAGGCTCCTGGTGCTGAAGATAGACCTCCACATATTCTCAGTGTTGGAGTGAGGCCCTCTCTGAGCTGCAGTGGAGGGCTTCACAGATACAGCTAGTCTGGTAAGTACTTTTGTTTATGCAGCAAGGAATTTGATGGATCTGTCACAAATCTGCCACGAGAACTAAAAACTATGATGTTTTTTTTTTAATGAAAATTAAAACATATTGACTGGACCAGTTATTTGTAAAATCTGCATCATAAAGCACGGCAGCTTCGTCCAAAGATGTTTTTCTGTTTTCTCTCTATGAGCGTATCTGTGTGTTAATTGTGTGACTGTAAAACTAAACATGCAGGCTGGATGCATCACCCAATAGAGCAGTTTGGCGGGCGAGGCACACGGGATTCCTTCCCTCTGGACGAACTCAACCGGGGGCCATGGCCTCCCGTGGGCGGCCGCGCCTGGCAGCCACCTGCCAGGTATGTAGTCATGACAACACAACACCATATTTTTTGCAAAACCTCTTTGGTTGCATTGATTCATCAGGTTAATCCTGCTGGTAGAGTTCAAGTTAGAGGCGATCAACAACTTTGTATCCCGTCTCTGCTCCTCATCAGGTGTTCACCTACGATGAACCAACACCAGCTACTTCCCCATCTACCTCCTGGACCTATGGGTGGATTAAACCATCACAGCAAATATTTCAGTAATGGGTAAGTAATGGAACAAAGACATGGGTGACACAGCTACTTTTAAAATGCGATAGATTTAGAGAAAGCTACAAGAGGAGTTAAAATGTTGATGTCATTCAAATGTTTTTAAGCCTTTGTGTGTTTTATACTCCAGGCCGATGCGAGGAAGCGAGAAGCTCGATCTCCCACAGCCAATGTTACCACCTCTGCAGAGGGAGCAGCAGAGACCTCCCCACCATCTTCATCCTCCACCTCATCACAGAGCGTGGGAAATTAGCCAGCTATATGATTCCCACCTTCCTCCTCGAGGACATCCGGTCATGCCCCTGCCCAATGACCTCTCGCTCCGTCTCCATAATGGAGGCTACGCGGGCAGCGGCGGACCTCCACCTAACCCCCATTTCCCCTCCAGGGGGCCAAACCAAATGCTGAAAGTGAGAACAGTGTTGCAGTGTTATTCTATGTCAGCCTTTTGCACTGAGCTTAAATAATTCTCTGCTGATGAACAATAAATCACTCTAAACACTTTCTTTTGTTGGTTTTCTGTCTATTTTAGTTTGGGGGTCCTCAGGAGCAGAATGTTCCCCGGGGTCCACCTTTGCTGGGAGATGACATGTGGGCTCAGGTGCACCAGGTAGGAACTCTCTAATTGGTTAGGATCATGTTTCATCATCGACAAAAACACCCAGCACTCCCTGTTCAGACCAATAAAACACCAATTCCACTCAAAGTCACTTTTGCCTCCCAGATTTTGCTGTGAATATTTTGATAAAGGGATTCTTTGGACTGACACTGCAATAGTCTTCATCTGCAGCAACTAAGATCTTTTTCTGTGCACAGCAGAGGCCATACCCAGGAAAGATGCAAGGAGGTCAGCTGAAGCGACCAGGCCCTCCACTGGGTGAACACTCTGTTATCCAACACACGCCTTCACCATCGCTGCATACGCCCTCACAGCCTGCAGCAGAGGAGTGTCCCAGCCCCAGCAAAAGGAAAAAGAGTTCAGATCAGGTATTGGACAGTCACAAATAATAAAATCAGTTCTTTTTTCCCCCTCCTCAGATCTTTGAGTAGTAAAATATTGTAATGTGCTTTCCCCTGTGCAGGTATCTCACCCTGGGCTGCAACGTTTCTCTGGTGCTGGCCAATCTTTGCCACAGCAGCAGTCGTCTGCTCAGCACCACCCTCCAAAGCCCGCCTTCTGGAACCCCATTCACAAGGACAGCAGTGTTCCCTGGCAGCCACAAACCTCAGAGCGCAAGAACCCACAATCACAGTTCCAGGTCTGAGCAGGAGCAAAATCTCTGCACTGTCTACTTGATCACTGACCACTGCTTTATTTAAAGCAGTGGTCAGGCCCTTTGTATATTATTCTCATTGTCCTGTTTTTCTTTTTCTTCTTCTCTTGTTTTGTGGCTCAACAGGAAAACAACAAACAAGGTATGGGCAGCTACAACCAGAAGTCCTCTCCTGCATCTTTGGCCCCTTCCAACCTCTCTTCTTTACCCAACTCCCCTCCAGGAAGCTACAACCAGGGATGTGCTCCTAAGCTTCAGAAAGACAAGTTACAACCTCAGGCTGTAAACCATCGGTCCCCTCACTCCTCCTACCCTAGTCCCGGCTCCAAACCGGAGAGAGCTCCACCATGCCAAGCTAAAGAGACTCGTGGTTCTCAGATGCAGAGAGGCCCTTTTATTGGAGGCCAAGGTGGCAGCCAAGCTACCTCTCACACAGCATCAACTCCAACCAGGGGAGACAGAGATCATCACCGACATGCCCAGTCGTCACCAGCAAACATTTCTGCGACTGGCAGCAACAACAGCAGCAGCAGTGTGCCTTACAGCCACTTCCAGCCTCATCCAGGGCTGGTCCACCAGGGTCCTCCTCCTCCACCGCCTCAAGCCAGCAGCACCTCAGTACCTCAGCAACAGCAAAGCGGTCCACATGAGGCCTGGAGATATCAGAGCACGCCCAGCAATCACTCCCTGGTGAGTTCAAGTTATATGCTGCAAGAATGAGTTCCTTTAATAAAGGGCAGCACAACGCAGGCACTTCAGCTGTTAACACAGTTGTTTTTTGATCACTATTATATTAAGTGACTGAAAAATTCTTTGTCTTCAGGAGTCGGGCAGCTACAGGCCTCCAGGGCTGCTACCTCAGTGCCAGCAGAGCCACAATCAGGTCGTGGATAGTCGGCATCCAGGTTCCTCCCGGCATCAACATCACGTCAGCCCTCCCCTGCCACCTACTCGAACACCTGTCATCACAACCAACCCTCCTATGTCCCAGACCCCCTACTCTGTCAGCCGCCATAGCAACAGCAGCGCCTCTAATAGAGTTGCTATGGCTGCTTCCTCTGCAGTGGCCACATCTCCCCCTGCTGGCTGCTCTGTGAACAATGACAGTACTAGTAACCGCTGGCAAGGAGGAAGGGAGCCAGCCCCACAAACCCCTACCAGTGCCGTCACTAACTCCAAATCTCACAGGGATGCTCTGCAGCAGCCAGGCAATCATCGAGGCCCAGCTCCCACCGCAAACCAGTCTCACCAACACGGAGCTACCAAGTCCCAGCATATGAAGGGGAAGATGGCGTACTATGCTCAGGCTCAACTGGAAAAACCTCCATTTTCCTCCTCATCTTCTCTGTTCTCCTCAGGGCAAAACAGGGCAGGGGACAGTGTGATTACAAGCACAGTTTCAAGTCCGCTTTCCAACTCTCCAACTTACTGCCCAGTTTCTCGCTCCACCGTCAGCTCTGCGCCTCAACCATCCAGCCCAGCCCTCCCCTCCAAACAGATGTTCTCTCATCCGCGAACTCCAACCTCTGTCCCTCAGTCCATTGAAGAGGCTCTCGACAAACTCGATGCTGAGCTAGAGGGACACATGCAAGCTGAGGAGAGGAGGAAGCTAGAGAGAGAGGAGCAAGAAAGAAAAAGAAGAGAAGAAGAGAGAGAAAAGAGGGAATGGGAAATGAGACAAAAACAGGAAGAGGAGAGGAAGAGGCTAGAGCTGGAAAAGAAGGAAGAGGAGAGGAAAAGAGAGCTGGAGAAGCAGGAGGAGGAGAACAGGAGAAGAGAACAAGAGAGGCAGGAGAGAAAGAAAGAAGAGGAGAGACGGAGAATAGAAGTGGAGCGACTGGAGAAAGAGAGGAAGAAGAGAGAGTGGGAGAAGCAAGAAGAGGAGAGGAAAAGGAGAGAATGGGAGAAGGAAAGGAAGAGGAGAGAGTGGGAGAAGAAAGAAGAGGAAAGGAAAAGGAGAGAGTGGGAGAAGCAGCAGGAGGAGGAGAAAAGGAGGAGGGAAGCAGAAAGGCACGAGCAGGAGAGAAAGAAAAGACAGCTGGAATGGGAGGAGGAAGAAAAGAAAAAACAAAAAGAGCTAGTGAGGAAAGAGGAAGAGAAAAAAAGGATGGAGAGAAACAGAGACGACAAACTGTGCAGCGCAAAAGGAAAAGAGCAGGCTGCTATCGAAAATCTAGAAAGGCTACTCTGTGAAAACACCTCCACGGTGCCCCCACCTCCTCCCCTCTCTTCTGTCACTGCATCTCCTTCAGGTCCATCTCCACCCAGTGCTCAGGCTTCTCCTCCATACCCCTGGCTAAGCCGTGGTGGTGTGCTCCCCTGCCAATCAGGCCAGACACCCGCCGTTGCCGCTATTGCCGCTCATGTCGAAAGGCTGCGGCCTCCTCCTCTTACACCTCAGACAGACTATGCCAGAGAAAAGCAAAGGCAGAGGGAGATGTGGAGTACCAATGGCGGAATGACATTCAGTCCTTCTTCAACAAACAATACCTCAGGGATGAACCAGCCGGTGTACCCCAACAAGCCCCCGGCGATGCAAACTGCACCCAGCCAATCCAAAGACCCAGCCAGGGAGAGAGACAGCAGCCAACACTCTCTCCCCACGGTGGCACTAAGAGAGCCGCCGAAACTGTATCACGCCTTTTCTAGAGAAAACCTCCCACCTCTGTCCTCCACCTCCACCGGGGGAATCCTCAACAAGCAGCTGACCAGAGGTGGTTTGGAAATCGCTGACTCTGACAGCGCTCAGTTTGAGGAGGAGTCCTCTGAGTCCACGCTGCTTCCCGACGGTCTGGCTAACATTATGGCCATGCTGGACGAATCCATCAAAAAGGAAGAGGAGATGTATAACAGTGAAAAGAATGGGCCCACAGGTCTCATTGGCACCTTTTCTCCCAGTGCTGAGCCCAACAAGAACTATCTTTGCGCCCCAGACTTGGTTCCGGCGACCAAACTTCAGCCCAGTCATGAAGACCGATCCAACGCCAGTCCTCCTGTGCTCAGCCGCCAAGGCTCTCTGGCATCACCTTGCAGCCGAACATCTTCTCTCAACGAGGACGACGAGGACTATCTTAAACCTTCTCCAAATAATCCTAAACAGCCCGTGCACATGCCAGTGGGAATAGGGAACACCAATTACCGTCACAGTGACTTGGCTAAACTTTATGGTCTCCCTGAACAGATTAAAAGTGACGCTGATGAGGATGAGGATGAAGAGGATTCCGAGGCCCCATCTTGTTCTCCGCCACCCCAAAGACCCCACCTTCATCAGACGGGTGTTAATAGCATGTTCAAGTCTCTAGCAACTGTCCTAGAGAGCCAGAAGTATGCCTACCGTGGCGGGCCTTTTGGGAGACCTCCTCCATCAGCTCTGGTTGGGGTCAAGTATTCCTCTTCGCTGTCACTGGGCCCTGATATCTGCTGCCAGCAGCAAAGCAGTTCTCCCACATCAGACTCAACAAACCCACCATTCAGTCCTGCTCTCCCACCCATGAAGTCCTCTCCTCGTTCTCTACTGGAAGATAAGAAGCTGAAATTAGAGGACTCGGATGTCTGGACAGATGAAGGGGACTCAGAGGAAAGCTTCACCTTTATTAAAAAGAAAAGCATTCCTACGATAAAGCCTATCAGGGTGATGAAGGAGGAGCAAGAGTTGACAACCATCTCTGAATCTTCTTTGGCAGAGTTGGGCAAGAGCTGTGAGGTCATGCTTAGCCGACAGTCACTCCATTACAAGAGCTCCTACAAAAAACATGACAGCCAAGGTCAAATGGGGAACAGACACAAACCCGAGAAAGTAAGGGAACACAGAGAGAAAGGCAGAAGCAGAGACAGACAGAGGGACAAAGAAAAGAAGAGAAAGCACGGTCACAGCAGCAGCAGAAAGCATGAAGATAGAAAAGAAAAGAAAAAGCATAGAGACAAGAAAGATTCTTCTTCATCCACCCATTCCAGTTCCAGCCACAAGCGGCACAAAGATGGCAAGAGCCATAAAGAGAAAGATCGCAGAATCCTAAGTGATCTCAATCTCCAGAGAAGGGAGGGCTCAGAGAAAACCTTTGGTCTCTATGAAACTGAAAAAAGGAAATGCAAGGAAGCATCCAGTACCAGCTCCACAAGCGAAGGCGAGCGTAGAGAATGGACGGGAGAAAGATCTTCTGAGCACAAAAAAGGCGAATCTGGGTCTTCGTTAGGTTCTACGGATTTAATGAAATTGAAGGCGTTGTCAGATGGACCACCAAAAGAGCTCAAGATTCGGCTGATCAAAGTGGAGAGCGGCGACAGGGAGACGTTCATTGCCTCAGAGGTGGAGGAAAAAAGGATTCCGCTGAAGGACATCAGCATCAAGAACACTGCAAGTGAGATTATCCGATCCTGCAAGTAAGTGCAAATTAAAAATTGATTTCATGTAATATTAGTCTCACAAGTATTCAAATGAAGCTAAATTAACACGTAAGCGTTTTGGAATGAACTGTTAGAGAAACGATTGGTGCCTTCATGTTAGCATCTGTCAACCTTTGCCTTTTTTTCCTGTTGTAGGGCAGCCAGACTCAAAGGGAAGTTTAAAGAATCCTACTTACTGCCAGCCTTCTCTGTGAAACCCATCATAAGCAAAGAGGAACCAATTCCCAGGGAGAAACTCAACCCTCCTACACCCAGCATCTATGTACGTCACTATGTTTCTAACACAAACCTATTGAACACAAATTCTGTGGTGGCTTCACATGGGTTTTCCCAACATACAAAACAGCAACAGGAAACTCAGGGATTTCAGTGTTTTATCACTTAAATATAAACTGTTTAAAACAACACGAGATCTATAGACAACACACCAACAACACTCACGCTACCGAGCGATACCTGTGATTTAATTATGCATAAAAAGAGATTTTGTAACGCGGTAATGTTCTTCTTTGCAGCTGGAAAGCAAGAGGGACGCCTTCTCCCCTGTCCTCCTGCAGTTCTGTACTGACGCCAAGAATCCTGTTACTGTCATCCGAGGACTAGCTGGATCTTTGCGACTCAGTAAGTTTACAGTGGCTTATGTGTAAACAAATATAATGAAACAACGTGCAAGTAGACTCTCCCAAATTTTATGAAGAAGAGAAACAGGATTTGGAAAACTTGTACCTAATTTTCTCATGACCTTTTCAGACCTGGGGCTCTTTTCAACAAAATCCCTGGTGGAAGCCAATGCAGATCAGATGGTGGAGGTGAGGACTCAAGTGCAGCAACCTGCCGACGAGAACTGGGACCCTAGTGGCACGGGCCAGACATGGCCCTGCGAGAGCAGCCGCTCCCACACCACCATCGCCAAGTACGCCCAGTACCAGGCCTCCAGCTTCCAGGAGTCTCTCCAGGTATTTTTTGATCCAGTGCTATTTACAGAAATTAAGATTGTCAGCTTTATATAGTAATCCTAAAGATTCAAATAGGTGGTGGAGCAAAAAAGAAGTCCATTTTCTCTGTGACCATAACCAATATATGCTAATTACAGCCCTCGATATAATTGAATGTAAGCATAAAATATAACATTAATAAAGCAGTGGCTTTAGCCAGGCCCAGTTCAAACTTCAGTTCCAATAACTGTGGAAGCATCTAAAAGATAAAGAATAATTCTTTCATTTTGAGCTGAAGTTGAAGGAGCTCATATTCTTTCTTTTTTTCCTGAGCTGTTAAGAGCATGTTTGAAACAACAGCTTGGAATATGATCCCAGAAAGGTTTAACAATACAGCAAGAGTTAACTTGTCTGTCTTTCAGGAGGAGAAAGGCAGTGATGAAGAGGAGGATGAAGACGATGAGAAGAAGTCACCCAGCAGTTCTGAGACTCCCAACAAAGACAGCTCTAAAGAAACTTGCAAGTAAGTGTACTTTTCTATAAAACACCCAGCTTTTTTGGAGGCGCATCAGGGTTTTGTCACTTGTACTAAAGCTTCAATATCTTCTTCAGTGGTGAGCAGAAACCAGTCGGGAAAATCATTAAATTTGGCACCAACATTGATCTCTCTGATCCCAAGAGGTGAGTAGCCTAAAACAACTCTTTGTGTCTTTGTGCAGCTAATAATTGCACATTACCTAAGAGGACGGCATTACAATCTTTTGTCTCTCTGCTCAGGTGGAAGCCTCAGCTTCAGGAGCTGCAGAAGCTTCCAGCATTTATGCGCGTGTCATCCAGCGGAAACATGCTGACCCATGTCGGACACACCATCTTAGGCATGAACAGCGTCCAGCTCTACATGAAGGTCCCAGGGAGCCGAACACCAGGTGAAGGAAACTATAGGCAACACAGCTTACTATCTAAATGAAGGTGTGATGGAGCTTCAATCACTATTAGCAAAAACATACAATGTTGTGTGTGCTTATTTGACAGGTCACCAGGAGAACAACAACTTTTGTTCAGTGAACATCAATATTGGCCCTGGAGACTGCGAGTGGTTCTGTGTCCATGACAACTACTGGCAGGCCATCAGTGACTTCTGTGAGAAGTGAGTAGCTGCAGAGTAACAGTGGATGTGCAGGAGTGTTGTGGTGAGGCTGGTTTACAGTTGGACACCTTCTACATGTCTGCCTTTAATGTCCTCAGGCACGGAGTGGACTACCTGACAGGGTCCTGGTGGCCAGTACTGGAGGACCTCTACAACGCCAACATCCCAGTCTACCGCTTCATCCAGCGGCCTGGAGACTTGGTGTGGATAAATGCTGGTACTGTTCACTGGGTTCAGGCTGTGGGCTGGTGCAACAATATTGCCTGGAATGTTGGACCCTTGAATGGTAAGAAGGGCACCATCTAGTGGCCAAATGCATATTCATTCAACTTTTTATTTTATTTTATGTAGCATTTCTTGTATTTTTCCAATATTGTTTCATGTATATTTACAGGCTACCAGTATCAGCTGGCGCTCGAGAGGTTTGAGTGGAACGAAGTGAAGAAGGTGAAGTCCATTGTCCCCATGATTCATGTGTCCTGGAATGTGGCCCGCACTCTGAAGATCAGTGACCCAGACACCTACAAGATGATCAAGTGAGTACAGCTGGTTTTTATCAGTTTAGGCACTTGGTAGGTAAATCCACAGCAGCACCAACTAAAAATCTGTTTTAGCGAAAGCAGAAAATATTGCAATGATTTTTAAAGTGGCGACCCACAGAAAAACTGCCCGTGAATATTGATATTGATTGCAAATGTGGGTCTCTGCCTTCCTGTCAGACACTGCCTGATGCAGTCCATGAAGCACATCCAGATCCTGCGTGACCAGCTGGTGGCTGAAGGCAAAAAGATTTCCTATCAGAGTCGAGTCAAAGACGAGCCTGCCTACTACTGCAACGAGTGCGATGTGAGTAACCGTCAAACACAAACTTAAACAGACTTTCGTTGCTTTGTGGCTTCGGTAGTTATCTTCATCTTCATCATCTACAGACCTTTTTTAGGGGTGTTAGAGCGAGTTTGTTAGGGCACATAGAATGGCGACTGAGTTTACTGTCTTATCTTTACCAGTAAGCTTACAAGCTAGGAAAAATAAGACTTTTTAGTATCATCAAACTCTGAAGCTGTAGATTTGAAAGATGGCTCCTGAAGTTTCTACCAGACGACTGATCAACTCAAAGTTTGACCCCTCTGCTGTTCTTTCCTGTCGCAGGTGGAGGTGTTCAATTTGTTGTTTGTGACGAGTGAGAACAACAGCAGGAAGTCGTACGTGGTTCACTGCGAGGACTGCGCACGCCACCGCAACCCGAGCCTGACCAACGTAGTTGTGCTGGAGCAGTACCGCATAGAGGAGCTCATGAGCGTATACGATTCCTTCACCCTGGTGAGACTTGACTTTTTAGTGCGTAATCGCAGTTCTTTCATGAACTAACTCGATCAAAGACTTTGACTTTTTCAATTTGTCAGTAATAGATCTATTTTTAATCTTTGTTTCTACGTCTCGTCTTTGCAGGCCTCCTCCTCCCGATGACAGAGCTCCCCACGTACATCTCCTCAGCCATAAACCAAAACTCCTGCGAGGCAGGACAAAGACAGTTTCACTTTGGTTTTCAACTCACCCATTCATTATTGTTTAGCATGATTCTTGCGACTACTGCTACTACTTGCCGAATAGCCAGTTGAATACGTTTACTCCTTACTTGTTTACAAAGAGAAAAAAAAAAACCAAGCCGCCAATAAGATACCAGTTTACTCTCAGATGGTGCTTTCAACGAGAACCCCTGGACACTGTGGTGGTTAACGGGGGCAGTTGGTGCTGTCATTGAACAAACTGTGGAGGGTAGCTGATGGTTTCAACGGCGTGTTTCTGTCAGTACCGGAAAGAACTCTTCTCTTCTCTTGAATATTGAAATTTGTACATGCTGTTTTGAAATTTCTCGTGGGGTGCTGTCTTTTTAAAAAATAATTTATTGTTGTTTTGTTTTTTTTCTAAACTAGATCCGCCTAGATATATACCACATTGGCCTTGTATTTAGAAAAGAGAAAATGGAAAAATACTAATAGAGTTATGAACATTTTTCTAAAAGCATTAAGAATTTAAAAATTGTTTGGAATGCTTCAAAAGATACGGGTTATAGCAACTTTGGTTGTTTTTTGCGGGGGGTTGGGGGAGGGGCTCTTGTGTTTTTTTTAAACTTTACTTTTTTTAAAAAGTTTGAATGTGTTGTAAATTTTGTTTCTATGAGTTCTAGCTTTTGTTTTCTCTGGAGATTAATATTCAGTTGTCACAGGTTGTCAGGTCTTGTTCATTTCTTCACTCGGTGTATGACCGCTCTCTTTAAAAAAAAAAGAAAAAGTCATTGTCCTCTGGTGTGTGTTTTGTTTGTTCCAATATGCAGACTTCGTATTTCCTGAACTTTTTTTTTTTTTTTTGGCATTGTACATTTAATTTAAAATGTTTCCTCTATTTATTGGATATTGGCGTTCTCCCTTTTCTGATAGGGTTGTACAATTTTGCTATGTTTTATTCCCTTTGTTTTATGGTGACTGTTTGCTCTGTAAGAACTAAAACATGGAGGCTGTGTCCGACGGAGTGGAGGCTACTGTTTCTCTGGTGCTCGCCTCTCGCCTCCTGTCTTTTCTCTCATGATATATATTAAATTATATCTTTATCTTTAATATAACACCACCTTTCCTGTAGACAATAGGCACACTGCTCACGTAGAGAAGACGACTAATGGAATGCTGTGTTTGTACGCTTATTAAAAAAGGAACAGAATGACTTTTTTTCCCAAAGTGTTTTTGAGAAATGGTAATTCTTTTTTAATATGTAGGGGGCTTTTAGATGAGATTTTAATGATTTTATGATATCTGTTGAATATGCTAACGGGATAGATGGTGCTAAATGTTCTCTCTGAACAATTTTTCTTTTTTTTTTGTCTTCTTAAAATGAGAATTCTATTTTTCCTGTTGCAATATTATCTTACACTTTCCTTCTCTTTGTGGTCATTCGTTTATAACTGCACTGTTTAGAGAATCCACACAGACATACTTGCAGACATACACACCAAACTGAGCCAGACATGTCTTAAACACTTGTGAATTTGTGACATTACTATGACTATTAATAAACGCTTTTTGATAAATTCAGACTGAGCACAATTTGTCTGAATTTGTTCACCTGTCATCTGACACCGGCGTCTTTCCTACACCCTCGAGACGCATTTTTATAAAACTTGATGTAGAAGTGGAGAATGGTCAAAGGGTGAACCCACTCATTTAGGTTCAGATGTGCTTTCTGCAATCCAAAATTAATCCACATACAATCAGTATAAATGATAAGTTGCTTTGACAGCGTTAAGAGTTGGTCCAAAACAGACGAGATGTTCAACTGCTCCTGTCTAATACACTGAAACACTTTTTAATTAAACTTTTGGGATATTGATCTGGTGAGTTAAGCAGCAGTCAGTTAATGAGGTTGTTAATCAGTTTCAGCTGCTTTGCTGTTGAGATGAAATTAACCTCAGCTCCACTAGAGGGGCGACAATGACACAACCCTCATTTGGCTAGTGTCAGTGTCACCACTGGTCGCATGAGGTGATATCTGGACCCTACAGAGGTTGCACAGGTTTAATGCATCCAGGATGGTACATCAATGCGTGCCATTACAAGAAAGTTTGCTATGTCTCACAGCACCATCTAAAGAGCATGGAGGAAACTCCAGGAGGCAG